CTGCTTCCTCTTTCTTAAGCTTGCTTTCTCCAGTTTTAGTTATATTTGGACTTCCTGCTCCAGGTCCCTTCCCTCTTGCCTGGGCACAACAACTGCAAAAATCCAAACCTTTGCCCACACATGGTCTTTAGGTTGCAAGCTTTATTAAAAAGTCTCTAGGCCTTATGAGAATTGTTTGTTTTGTTGATTATTATTATTAAGGCCTGATCAACCTCTATCTGAAGACTACTGCTTAAAGCTCTACGGGGGGAATTCCTGGAAAATTAAAATGGGCTTTAACACACACAAACACGCACACAGAGCAATTCTAGGAAAAGGCCTTGGGCATAAAAATGTGGATTTTTTAATTTGAATAGTATTAAATCAATTATACTAAATGTGGGTTTTACCTACTATTCAATGTATTGTTTCTTTCTACTTCAAACCTACTTACTAAATGTGCGTTCAAATGTCTGAAATCTCAGTGATCCTGCTGTCTGCTGATTTTCACTGGGAAACAGAAATCACTGGTGCTGCTTTAAGTAACAGGGTTGTACACTCAGAAATTTTTCTTAATGTTAATAAAGGTGCACAATCACTTTCTTTTGAACCTTCCAAGCAGCCAAAAAGTTTTAGAAATAAGCAGTGCCACCAAACACAGTGAAATAACATACACCCAGTGAAATATATGTAAGGACAGCTGGGACAAAGTTTGTCTGGGGACTGCTTGAGGTGAAGTCAGTAAAAATAAATTTTAGAATTTCTGAATGTTGTGGTTTTCAGTTCTTCAGAAGACATTGGTCCCTTTGATCCTGAAAATGTGTTCAGCAACCAAAGATGGTTTGAGGTTGAGCGCATGTAAGCCCAGCCTTCCACAGCCCAAACCTACCTGGAAGGCCAACAGAGGTTTACGTGTTCAGCCCTTAAGGTTTGTGAAGGCCTCATGAGCGTGCTCAACTGAAGGAGTCTACAGGGCCTACGGAGACTTTTGCGATGAACCTCTGGAGGTGTGCATATTCTGATACACTCCTCTTTTTCACCAATATATTTTTCTGACACTTTGGGGCCCAGTGGTCTTCCTACTAGCACAGAGAGAAAGCGTCTGCCTTGCAACCCTCCAAAGCTTACAGAGTGACTTCAACTCCGGGTGCAACAACACAGGGATTTGACCCACCATTTGGTCCACTCTGGGGACGGGCTCGTTTGCGCCAAATTTGGCGCTTTCACCGCCTCCCCCTTCCGGTCCGTAGGCCGCCGATTGTGCCTCCGGATGCCTTCCAGGGCTTCTCTGCCGCCAATGTAAATAGGGTCATTTACATCAAAAACCAGATGGCACATTCCTCTGTGGATCCACCAAAGCCAGCTGGCCTGGCAGTTATATCTTGATTCAGTGCTGGAGACGGGACAATATCTTCTACTCCGCCTGAAGGCAGCAAACTAACTTAGAGAATAAGGAATGGGCTCCTTCGCACACAGCTCTCTCCTCCAACACAGCAACGATTACCTGAGGTAATCGCCTCAGTGTGCCTAAGGGTTTACCGATGCCAAGGACTGGACATAGGGAGTGAGTCCCTGTTGGTTCTGCTGGACCCTTCATTGGCCTTTGATACCCTTGACCGTGGTACCTTTCTGGGCTGTGTCTCCGGGATGAAAGTTGGACGCGTTGCTTTACAATGCCTGTGGTCCCTCCTAGAGTTGAGGGACTCAGAAGGTGGTCCTGGGGGCTCCCACGACACCCCCGTGCTGTCGAACATATACATGGGGGTATATGCTGCGAGAGGCTGCCTGGAGTTTTGCAGTTCTATGCCTTTAATATACTACAGTATATTAGTTTTTCCAATAAGTCCAAATGTTCTTTTGCTACAGAAGATGAAGAACGCCTTCTCGGAGAGTGTGAAGACTGGGAGAGCGACTGGGATTCAGGTGAGCGGCAGGAGAGCCAGGACGCGATGAAGGGATGGAGATCAGGGCCACACAATGTGGCGACGGCTACTGACTTGGCACAGTTTCCAAAGAGCCCTGGAGAACTTCCAAGCCATGGTAGCTAAAAGGACGTTTGTGATCAGGCACCAGGTAGCAGTCGTTTGGGGACTGGGCAGCTGTGGGTCTTGCCTTCTCTCTTGCTCTTGGACTTCCCAGAGGTATCTCTGAGGGTTCCCGGTGGGCAGAGCTTGGCAGTAATTAGTTACAAGTAACGTGGTTACTCTCGAGAAGTTGCCCTTTCTGTTAATGTGGATGCAGTAAGGTTACACTCCAAAAGCAACACAAGTAGAAACAAAGCAACTGTGTTCCTTACTGCCTGATGTAATGAGTAACATTTTCTAGAGACTTTTCAAAGTTACCTTTAAAAGGGTACTTCAAGAATTTTTAGTAATTCCTTTTTCAGTTTTATGCCATTTGCTTGCCTGTGTTTTTTTAAAGTAACAGAGATTTGTATCACCAGGGCAAAAAGTAATTCAATAAACTGCTTTATAATTAATAGATTTTATTTTGCATACCCTTTTTTCATGGACTTTAGTCCGCGTCTTCACATATGCCAAATAAAACGATGAAGTCTTCACGGCACCACAAGACTCTAGTGCCTAAATCTCTCACTGGGTGGCTTACGTTCCCCGTGCAGCCTACACTGCCTGGTAGCCGTTATATCTCAGGCTCATGGATCTCACGTTTACAATGAAGAAACAGCAACTAGGGGGTGGATGGAAAGAAAAAGCAGAGCTCTTCAGAGGAAGGGCATGATAAAAATGCAGCACATTAACACGTAGAGGTCTTCTGCCTTTTGTAGTCGAAAAGCATCATATGTTGAAACTGGGGAGGAGGTCCATGGTGGGGGGAGTGGCAAATGAAACTAATGAAGGCCTCTCTTATTCTCATGTAGATGAGGAATATTCAGAAACGGATGAATCGGAGCATACGCTAGCCACAACAGCAAGGACATTTCTCCAGATCCAAGAGGATGGATTGGGTCTAATCGTAATCCAAAATGGGCCTTACCTCCAAATAGCATGTCTGGTGGAAAATGGTGCGGCTGCTAGAGATGGAAAACTGCAGTCAGGTGAGTCAAGAAGATGCAAGCGCTCTGGAGGGATGCTAGTTCTTGGATAAAGAGAACATGCCTCTCCAAATGGAGACTCTGTGTGCTCTGCAGTGGTCCCAGCTGGTCATTTCCAGAATGCCCTGGTTAGGATTTTGGCACATCCTACCGCAACAGTCACTTTTTCTTGCTTAGTGCAGCACAGGTCTGAAATGTAGGGTGGAAGACCATCTATCCACTCTGCATACCAAAGCTCCAGGACAGTGTTCTACATAGCTCCTGAAGACAATAAACTGGTTAGGGAGAGAAGGGAAGCCTTCATGGGCGCCATGTTGCCAATGCCTTGCAACTGCCTCGCCCTTCCTAACGATAGTATGGAGAGCCCTTTGAGCTGAACTGGAGAGCAGCATCTTTACCTTCTAGTGACAGCTGGTAGGGATGCAAAAAGTGCCTCTTGCTTAATTTTTAAAAGCTTTTCAGTAGTTTTCTAATCTGCAAAACACACGTTAAGGTTTTATTTGCAAATGTCCTTATCCACATAAACAGTGGACAGAGACAGAAAATGCATGACAGTTTTTTTTCTGGATGCTATCAAGTGCATATGCAATAAAGTTAAGGCATTAGATTGTATGCCTTCTGGCAAACCTCAATTTTCACTAATAATTCTGCATGTGTGGTTTTTCAGAGGTATCAGATATGCATTCAAATACATCATGAAACAATTAGACAACTTAGAGGTCTTCCAGATGGGGCACTGGAACCCCTTTAAGTTCCCCTTCAAGCACAGATCATATCAGAAATTTCGGAGATTCAGATATGTTCTCCCTATCTTGCTTTGTCCCACATGTAATCCTTCCCCCCTAAAAATATTTATCACTACCTAAACCTCTAGTGTATTTCTAATACTTCTTTTTCCAGCAGGGATGGGGCAGTGTTTCCTTCAGTGACTCTCCCAGTTGCAATTTTTGGTGCAAAAATCCTAGGGCTATCCCGCCTGTCCTCAACAGAGATGGTTAGTGCTATGGGGCTTCACCAACCCTCTTTAAAATCATCACTAGAACACCGGGTTGTTCCAAAAGTCTCCTATTCCCCTCACAACACCCTAAGGATCTTGTCGTGTATGTTTATATAAGTGTGTGTCTGTATGTGCTGTTTTTGTGAGGGTCTGCAGGCTAGCCTGTCTGCCTCCAAAAAGGGCATCAATGTTATGACAGTTCCCTTAGCCATGAAGGTCACCTTGTATTTCAGCAACTTTCGGCTCAAGACTTAGTTCTCTCTTTAAAATTTTCACTAGCGATGGGCGTGAACCAGTTTGTCCCAGTTTGTCAAGGCTCCCTCGCCACCTCTGGCTCCATCAGCCCCTCTCCAGGCCCAGCGTGCCAGGCTTCCTGCAGCCCCTCAACGGATCTCCCAGTCCTGGCAACAGCTCCGGCCTCCCTGCCCTGCCCTCCTGGCTGATCTCCCACTCAGACCAAGGGGCCTGGCTCGTGACTGGGAGATTAGCTGAGGAGGAGGAGGAGGAGGTGGAGAAAACAAGCAAGCTGGGTCTGGGGAGTGGCCTTGTGACTGGGAGATGAGCCGAGGAGGTGGAGGAGGAAACAAGCAAGCTGGGTCTGGGGAGTGGCTGATCAGCTGAGGAGGCAGAGGAGGGCTTGCTTTTACGAACTGAGACGAACCAGTTCATGCCCATCTCTACCTGTCACCCAGAAGAGATGGAATACGACTTTTTGGATCCTGTTTCCTGTGACTCCTGTCAGACCCAGCCAGGATAACCCACGGTGAGGGTCGATGGCAGCTTCAACCCAACATATGGGCTTGCACGTTCCCTAGCCCTCAGATTCCTTTACTGTTGGAAAAACCCAACATATGGGCTTGCACGTTCCCTAGTCCTCTGATTCCTTTACTGTTCAAACGTATTTCTGACGATCAGATCCTGTTGAAGACATCGGAAGGCAAATAATCACTCTGAACTAGCAACTAGCAGTCTTCTTGACAAAGGAATAGTTGTCCAACATTCACCTTCATTTTTTGGTATCATCTTTGTAGCCAAAATTGTTAGGGCAACTAGCAAATTAAGAACTCTTTATTTTCCGAGGTGACGTCCTGCTTAAGATTGGGCATGCGAATGTCTTAGCATGGACACTGCGGGAACTCCTTCAACTGTTCCGCAACACCCCTATCGGCACAATCATTCAAATCCAGGTGTACAGAGATTTTGTGAAGTTGCCCAAGAGATGGGAAGCCGCTGTCAACAATATTCCTGAAAGGAAGGGGCCAGAGACAGAGGAGTAAGTATCAGTAGAATCCTAACTAAAATTCTGAGGAAAGTTCCTAAAAAGCACAGGGGATGAAATTTGAAAATCAAACATCAAAGTGAGTTCCTGCAAGGTGGAGTTTAGGGAGGTGGCATAGCTGGGTGACACAGCACATATTTTTCAAGCTAAAATCCTTGGGTTCAATTCCTGGCATCCCTGATTTTTCAGGATGCTCGTCATATAAGCCCTACCCCCCAAAAGTAAGCCCCAGTGAAGTGAAACCCTGCCCTCCACCCTTCTGCAGCAACCAGAAGAAGAGGACAGAACTGAATCTGAATAAGCATAGATGGTTGTACATGAAAAAAAAAATCCCCTGAAAATCAGCCCTAAAGCTGCTGCCTAATCCTTTGACACAGAGATGTGTCTTCCAACCTTTGTCTCGTTTTCAATTTGTCAAGGGATATATACCGACAGGAGAACACTGCTTTAACATTGACCACCTAGAAAACTGATTTAGAAAGGGCTTCTCTTAGAAAGTTTTCGTTTCTATAACTCACTGCATTGTACGTTTTAGGGTATCAAGCTGTCCCAGCGAAGACACCTGGTCAAGCAGCGAAGGCTCCCACGAGGACAGTGACATCGAGGACGGAGGCCACGCTGTTCGTTTTGATGAGGACGACATTTCCCCTCCAAAATGGATCCCTGAAGACCTGCATGACTATGAAAGGAAGATGCATACCTTGACTGTGGGTTCAGACATTGGTTGTGACATCATGATTCATCTAGATTTTGATGCTGACTTACCAACAATTAGAGAAACTGAATGAACCCATTACATGTTCTCGTCTCACCTGCCAGGAGTTTTCCATCTCTTGCAGCTGCACTTTTTTCCACCGGACCTACTATCGGGAGGTAGGGCTCATTTCGGATGACAATTAGACCCAATCCATCCTCTTGCATCTGGATATTCGTCTTCACTGTTGTGGCTAGCGTATGCTCCGATTCACCCATTTCTGAATATTATGAATAAACTGTTTTGCTGCTCATGTTATTGAAATCATCACTTGAAACTTGGTGTCCTACAATCTCTTTGGAACCTTAACTAGGAGGTTGCACTCGCTCAGCTGGTCTATATTCTAGACCAGCTGGAATTTTGGGTTCGTTCCCCCCCAGCGTGACAGATCAGCCTTCCTGATACTGGGTCCCCTCCTGATACGTCACATCCCAGCACAAGGCAATGTTGGTAACAGGGAGATGCCAGGCTGGGGACAGATGCTTTACAGAGAAGTGTGTTTATTTTGGTGAGGGTGGGTGACTGCACTTCATGAGATGCCAGTTTTTAGAAACCGTAAACTACGTCAAAATGTCCAGTAACACAGTATTCTTTTCCACACTTGACGAATGACCATAAGTACAACCAGGGCCAAAGCCACAGAGGGATAGATCCAGGGACTGCCCCTCAGGCTTATGTGAACGTTTGGGATTCAATGGGGGTCATATAAAAAGTAAGTCTATAGAACAGAGGGTGGGCAACAAGTGGTCCCTACTTGGAATGTGGGCCCTCAGCACTTCCACATGGGTCTTGCTGGGCATTATTAAACATTGATGTTTAGCTATGAGGCTCACGACGGTCGCTGCTTCCTCAGTGTTGGCTA